CAGGGTGTCATCTCTACATATCATATTGCCACCTGCATGACTGAGCTCTTGGCATTGATGGGGCCACGCGACCCTTCATACCCACGGTACGGAGCCCAAGTTTCGTATTTATCAAAGTCGACTGACTATGATCATTGATAGCAGACCGTGGTCAATGGCGTGCAGTGATCATAACAAAGAGATTTGAAGGGAATGTACCGGGGATAAGTGTTCACATTTTCCGTAGTCATACACCTCAAATCCACATTGACATGATGACAGGCATAGTGGGCGGTTGTGCTCATCTACCGGTGTCGAGGAGTCGGACGACGGGAAATGAAATACAACATTTGAACACAGGACAAATCATCCGTCACGGAATTGACTTGCAATCGAACATGAGCGAAACCCACAATCCGAACTTCACACATTTGACTCGCCAAAGGTCAAAACCAAAAACCTCATTCACTCCTATGAGGATAGATAGAGAAGAGCTGACAAGAGGGGGACTTGAACCCCCGCCATCTTTCGATGATGAGAACCCGCGAATGCAGGCAAGGTTAAGCTTGAAGCTACGCTTGAGTCACACGCCTTAACCGCTCGGCCATCTTGCCTTGACATTCTGTGAAAGTGTGGATGGATTATGCTTTGTTCTTTTGCGACAAACGCTGATGGGCGAAAGGGGACTGGCCTCCAACCTCTGTCACACGTCATGTGACTGCGCCTACTTATCATCAACGCAACCAAAACGCGATTTGACGTTCTCGCCACGATTCAACAGACGCCGCCACATCGTCTCAAACCTAGAGAACCTGGAGTATGTTTATATGTATACGTCGTTGATCCGATAAGTCTGAGTCGCGGTTGGCGCAAATGCGCTCCGTGTGGCGCACAACTTGAAGCTGTCACATGGCAAGATCATTCTAGCAATCTTCAAAAAGCCGAGGGAAAATTGGAACTTGAACTTTGAAATTTTGAGATAAGATGAAATGAATGAAAAATACCATCCATTTGAACTTGACTTCTACAGTTATATTGCAGAAAGATGTATAGATTGGAACATATTTTATGGAAAGCGCAATGTATCAAACATCTTGTGGTGGAATTGGAGCCCGCTCCCATCGTTTATATAATGGTTTTCGGCAAAAGAACTTCCAGAACTCGCACCATGCGATGAATACGAGTGACATCCCAACCACTACCCCCCACTCCCAAGATATTGCTTTCTGATAGAAGACATGGGTGTTAAACCCCGGGATGTATATAGCTAAGCCGATTGTCAGTCATTGAGGCGTGAGATAGAGCAAATGGACGTACGCAATACAACACTGATCATACCACCGACAACTGCCCATAGGAGGACCTGGTTGGCCCACAGATCCTTGTAAAATGCGCGGCCTGGCGTCAAAGCGAATAAAGAACGTTCCACTAAAAGGATTTTCACCAGAATGATATGGCTTGGTAAAACGGAACGCACAAGATTTCAACTCAAGGGAGTATAGAAGCATCTGAAAGACCAACAGAGCGAACACAGTTGAGCGTGCTCTGAACACCGAGTTACATCCCTCTTCAAGTTCGTGGTTACAAGTAGGTGGGAAGCGGCCGTCACCTGCGCCATATGCAACAATAGCGAACTGAGATCGTTCAGTAATGACGCATGTTCTAAATGAGCCTGAGGAATGTGCTTACGCTTGATAGACAAGTTCCGCCCATTATGATACCGTACGCAAAACAGTCAATAATGATTGGCCAAGTGAAAACGCCTTCTTTGGCCAAATGTGGGGGTCGCCTCATAAGATCAGATGGTGCACTTTCCAGACCAAGCCCAAATGCAGGCGAGGAGCTCGTAAGCTATATAACATTAAAGCATGTCAAAATTTCCAATTGCATACGTACCAGATTGGACCATAGAGCGCCTAGAGGACTCAATGGGAAGATGCTGGTGAGATCATCGGTAGCAATGAAGCACAGGCCGACGATCAGAAGGAGCACTTCAGCAACATTGCTAGTCAGGAGGTATAAAATAAACCGCTGTATGTTGAGGAAGAGTCGACGACCCTCCCGCACGGCGACTCGGATTGAGTCGAAGTTGCTGCAATCCATTAGATGGGGTTTTAGAAACCGATACAAAAGCTCACTCGTCAGTCAGGACCAAGTCTGAAGCATCTTTAGCAACATCTGAGCCAGCCAAGCCCATTGCAATTCCCACAGGAGCTAACTTGAGCGCGGGCGAGTCGTTTACTCCATCGCCTGACATAGACATATGTTTTCCGCGACGTTTCCCAGCGTGGATCATACGGACTATATGTAGTGGATGATAAGGATCGTTCCAAGCGACTCTATGCACCCTCACCTTTAGTCTCGGGGGCACACCTAGCAATCACCAGTGGTAGCTCAGGTAACACGTCTACCTCTTCATCAGTCAACTTATCAAATTCAGCGGCCTGATGAAGTGAGAGTGAGACTTGTACGGAGCAGCGTTACACGAGTTTCACCGTCATAACCGCACTGTTGGGTGCGCCAGGTGTAATTATCTCAACCGACTCTGCGATAGCACGGGCAGTGGTCAGATGGTCTCCAGTCAACCTACAGAAATGGAACAAAAGAGTCAAAAAGGGTGCTAAACACAGGATGAGGATATACATATGAACTACGATCCCAGCCCCCTTAAAAGCCCTAACCGCACCAAGCGTTTCGGGCCGTGGTGGGTCAAATATCCCAGCCAAGGCCACAAAGGTGCACTCCTTCTCGACCTCTTCCCGCGTGATGCCTGCCACGTTATTCATTGGGAGAGTACGCTGGCCCATCGCAATGACGCGAAGTCCTTGAGAGGCGAGTTCCTCTGCCTTGATATGAACAGCGTCCTTCACCGCGGCAGTCATGGGGGCAAGTGTGGAAGGATCGTCGGTAGGAGAGGGAAGATGAAAGGTCGAAAGGTCGAGAATGCTCTCCAACTAGTCCATATTGCATGAGTTACGAGAATAATCAGGGAGGTAAACGTACTGCGCCCTTTATGAGACAGATGTTTTGCTTCTTCTCGTTATCCCAATATATCGTCCACATGCGCTTGAGCTCGCTGGAAAAGGGGCACTCCACTTTAAGCTCAAAGCGCATAGGTATCGAGCTTCGTTTTTCATCGTCAAGGTCGGTTTTCTCACTGATGTCTTTCTCGATGATCTGACCACGAGTCTGCATGCCCTGTGAAGTGTTCTGATCCATCGAATCCCGGGTCAGAGTTGTGCGGCCAAGACCAAGCTTCATAGCAAAGACTTGAAGGGCTACCTCGGTGGGATCACCAGTAGACTGCCACTCGTCCTGCGTGTTCTTTTGAATACTGCTCGAAAGTAAGTAGGAGTAGACGTGTTCATGTGGGTATCGGTTACGCACGTTGCAACATTGCAAAGGGATGCAATTCTAACAGCTTGAGATAGCCCTTCGTGAAGTGTCCCAGGGGTTAAAACGACGTTGTCACTTTCCGTACGTACTCCCCCGCCGCCGGGGTCAAGAGCGTCGTGCGCAGTGTCAGCACTGTATTCAACACCGCCGTTGTCCGCCGCCAGCCAAAATTTCCGCACCGACATCTTCCCTGATGAGGAGAGTCAGCAAGTGGAAGGAAAGAAGGGTTCAGTCACTCACCAAGTGTTAGCGTTCCGGTTTTATCACTGCAGACATCTGTTACGCCGCCGAGATTCTCCAGGGCATCCAATTTTCGGACAATCACATGTTCCTTCGCCATCCTCTTTGTCCCAACCGCCATCGTCAGTGTTAACACGGCGACGAGCGATTCTGGGATGATCGAAAGTGCAGCAGCGATGGCGTAGAGGATGACTGATTCGTCGATGTGGAAGCGCGCGACGGAAAATACAATGATAACGAGGAGGATAGCACCGGCGAAGAGAAGATATGCGAGCTTGTTTAGTTTGATTTGGAGGGGCGTGCCAGTATTAAGCCCTCTAAGTGTCTCGTGAGACCCGAGAAGAAGGGAAGGTTGACCTCGGCGAAACACTCACAGCCAACCCAGGATATTGGCCCATGCCCTCTTGAAGAATGGCTGTGGCGTCGCATCTTGATTTTGTGAAGGATTCTTGCCGCTAATAGCTTTAGCGATGAGACCAATCTAATACAACCTCGAACGTTATGAAAGAATGGGATAGAAAAATCCATCCACGCACCTGCGTATTCATACCGGTACTGACCACTATTCCAGCCCCCCGCCCCTTGGTTACAATAGTTGATGAGTAGCACAGGTTGAGACGGTCTCCAATAGGAAGATCTTGATCTTCGCTGTTGAACGTCTGTTCAGATTTGACGACTAAAGAAAAAGTCATTAAACTGAGTTTGTCGTGAAGTCCTCTTGAAGTACCTGGTACAGACTCTCCAGTCAGGAGTTGTTCGGAAACTTCAAGGTTCGATAACGAAACAAGGCGTATCTGCAGATAACTGTCAGTAATGTATCAGTGGAATATAGGCGGAGACACCAACATCGGCGGAAACTACATCTCCCGCCTTGATCATTATGAGATCGCCTGGGACGATGTCCTTTGCGGGGATCGTCATGCTCTCTCCATGGCGGATTACGCATGCTGCTGGCGAAGACAATTCTCGCAGCGAGTCCATCGTCTTTTCGGCGCGATACTCTTGGATGAAGCCAACTCTGAGCCAAAATGCTCAGCAGCATTCAAAAGGGAAGAGTAGACAAAGTCACGTTGTATTGAGGACGATGATTGCACCAATAACCCCACCTTCTATCCAATCTTCGACACCGAGGCTCAAGGCCAGCGCAGCGAAAAGTACAAGGGTCAATGCGTTCCCTACCACAACACAAAGAAAGCATGAGGACTGAAGCATCGAAATAAGTCGTTGCTACGCACCACACTGTTTGAGAAGCACTTTTATGGCAGAGACTCCTTCATCTCCTTCTAGTGCGTTAGCGCCACATGCCTCCAGCCTCCTGGCGGCTTCGTGCCTCGAAAGACCCTCTGTTGAGGACGTGCCCATTTCTTCAGCCAGTTGGCCTACAGATATGGTGTGGGCTGTCGGACCTAGAGAACCATAGTTGGGATTCGTAGGAATCACAAATACAGAAGCCCCGGTGCTGGTACGGCTCTTGAGCTTCAGTCCACCCTTATTTTGGAAGATTCTCATGACGGTTGAGCTATGAGGGCGTCTTTAAGAAGGTCGAGATCAAATTTAAGACGGCCCATCGGATTTGCCCTCGTCTTATGTGTGTGTCTCAGATGACATGTGGTCAAGACCTGTTTTTTTTATGATAGGTATATGTGGTGGCTTCGTTTCCGGAGTCATTCCTCGGTGTTCGCCAATTGATAACACGACAATATGATGATCAGATGAAGGAAAAGGAGGTATCCCACCCACAAGTTCCTGGGCATGTAAAAAGTTAGACACATTTCCATGACACTAGAAACAGACACCGCGTGCGTTGCTGGATGATGACGGCAGTCATTTGTTCTGCAATCTTTCTCTCCTCTTTTTTGTAGCTTGAGCTGCATTTCTCTTTCGGCGATAGGTTTCCAGTTAGCGCAGGAGCGGTGCCGTTGAGTCGATCGTTGATTTCCTACGATGGGGTTGATACCCGAGCGGCATACCCCGGCCG